TTAGCATTGAGTGAGCATGGTCACCTGCAGTAAAACCAATATATATATGTATCGTTCCTAACTTAGGAGTAAATCTAACGCCCATCACATCATATCCAGAGTATAGGGAAAGTAAGCAAACACACCAATCAATTTCATACAACATGCAGTGAAAACCAAGGAAAGCTCCGGCACACAATAGAAAGAATAAACACTGGCCTAGCCTAATTCTAGAAATGGTGCCCTAGCAAATAATTTTACGTGTGTGTATGGCTGGTGTGGCTTGAATATGTCCTAATATGGGTAGTTAGTTAAAGTTGCATAAAGTTCAGGTTTATTATAGACTAGAAAAGGAAATTTTTATTAGAGTTTAAATATTAATGGATTATGATCCATTTTAGATAATTTAGTTTGTTGATTAGTTTTAAAAACTTAGGATAGTGATATTTGAAGTTCAAATTATATTAGCAAAATTTGGAAAGTCCCGGGTCCTCCTAGGTACTAAGTTGAGGGGGGGTCCAAAAGGTCACTATGGGAAATAGGCTAGGTTTGGGTCTCCTAATATTTTAGATGAATACTATGGCTTAAGATGAATAATTAGTCAGGTAGTACGCTGGATTTGGAGTTTTCTAGGCAAAGATATGAATTTTCTAAGTTTCTGGCCCTAGACTATAGACTAGGGTTGACCAGAAATTTAATTTTCTAATTTAGGTGAGTGTCTGAAATCCTAATATTTTTAATAAATATTATGCCCTAATAGGAGTCTAATTCATATGAGTTTTACTAACTTGGAATTTTCTACAATTAGTTATGAATTTTTTAAGTTCATTGTATTTATGAAATTATCTAAATTATTTAATTAATGACTGGTTTTAAGGTTTTTATCCAAATAAGCTCCAAACTAATTGGAATCACCCCCAAAGGTCAGAAATGACCTGAGAAAGTGTTCCCAAGTGTTTGGAAAAAATTTGGAATTTGGAATAATTTTTAATGATTTATTAGGGGCAAAAAGGTAATTTCCACCTAAGGTTAAATTAAGGGTCAGTCTAAGGTCAAACTAGGTAGCCTTATTTATCTAAGGTTAAGGATCAGATTCTGGACAGTTTGAGGTATGGTAGATAATTTTATGAGTTAAAATGGATTTATTGTAATTTTTAGAAGGTCTCGGGGCCCTATTTACAAAGTTAATTAGGGTTGGTTGATTAAGGGGTCTAAAGGCTCCTAAAAATTCCTGAAAATTTCTGGGAGGTTTCAGATGTCCCTAGGTTTAAATGTTAAATTTTTCATGTCAATCAGGGATCTACCCTAGCTCATAGAAATCTTCTAAGTTCGCTAGACAGGTCATTAATTGTTGTCCTTAAGGTGCCACTACGTTGAGTAGGTTTAAATCAAGTTTTGGACTAACCCTTGGGTTTACAATGCATGGGATACACAAATAAAATAAACACATCATGTCCTTAAATCTAAAAGAGCCTAAACTAAGTGGTGGTATATCCTACACATGCAAACTATTGTAAAGAAAAGTAAATGCACCTAATGAAGGGATTAGTGAATGATTGAGACTCAACTAATCCACTCCTCTATGATTGCTCTTCATATGAATAACCTATATTTAAAATTTCTTAAACAATGGATCTCCCAAAATTAAGATTTAACATATATAGGTAATTTTAAAAATACTTAAAAATTTCTTAAACAGTGGATCTACTTAAAAAAAAAATTTATGAATTTAGAAAATATATAAATTTTAAATTAATTATTAATTAGGCGCAGATCTATTGCCTTCATTCTTATTAGAAAGATGTGGAGTGGTGGTTGACCGTCTCAGTCGACCAATTGAAGATCCTTTTGTTCCTTTCTCAGTAACCACATGGGTCTTTCTTTCTCAAAATCAAAAGAATTTTTTTGAATAAGTGAGAATGAGACCAGACCGCCAGCTAGCTAGTGCGCTTTACTAAGAACATAGAAAGGTTGTTGGATGCGTACATATTTTCAGCAAGGCGCTAGAGAGGTACCAGTTTAAGCAAAGGGGAAGAAAAGGTAAGAAAACCTTATTTAGTTAATATTTAAATTAATACATAATATGTATTTTTAGATTTTAAAATAATTTTAAATTCATTTTTAATCTTTTTTTTTAACGAAGAAAAGAAAAGAAAGAAAAAAAAATTCATTCTCTCGATCGAGACATCCAAATTTAAAGAAATTTTAAACATAGAGTAGCATGATGAATAGAAAGCATGGGGTGATATTTGAATGCTCTAAAAAGCACTTATTAAAAAACTATATAGATCAACGTGTAGTGACCTAGATCTAAAGTTTTGAGGAATCTCACCATTGGATCTTCAAGTTCTTTATACGGTTGAGCTTGTAGAATGTCCTCGTATATTTCTCTAGTTGAAATCACGATCAAAAAAGCTCTGGATCAACCGGATCGAGGCCTTGGACGGATCTAGCCTTGATCTCGTTGGAGGATCGCCGTCATCGGGATTTGACCGATGGATTTAAATGGAAGAAGGTGGGGAGAAGTTAGAAGAGCTTTCACACCAAAAAGTTTAGGTTGAGAGTGGCTAGGAAGAGAATCCAAGCAAGAGCCTCCTCTTATGAAGCCCTAAAAGAGTATTTAAATGATCAAGACCTTAGATCTATGGCTAGGATTGATCATAAGACTAATTAGAAGTGAATTGAGATGATTTAGTCGTCGATTTGATTACTTGATTTAATAATAGATTTAACCTCATGAGAAGGAAAAAAAATTAAATTAAGCACATAAAATTAAAATTAAGCTTAAAATTAGATTCGATTCGAGTCAATTTGGAATTCAATTTGATTTGCTCAAATTAACCCAATTAAATTTAAATAAAATGAAGGCTCGATCATAATAAACTCGACGTAGCCAAAGCAGACTAATAAAGCTTAATCAAACCCGATCGAGCCTAATTCGACTCAACTCGAGGTGATTCGTGCTCGAATTGAACCCGATGGGGCTTGATTAAATCAAACAAAGGCCCTCAAAGACACTCAAACGAAAATCGAGGTCAACACCGGACGATGATCGTGTAGGAAATAGTTTTGTACCGATTCATGACAAGTTCGTATGCAACAGTTTTTGAACTTTTCGTACGTACGAAATCCGATCGTACTGTACAATTGTATGCACTCAAAATTAAAATTTTTAGTTTTCTTAACGATTTTTCATGCCTTTAGTATAAAAGATCCACTAGAACTGACGTGAAAAAGTCTTGTCTTTGTGATTTTTCAAGGGTAATTGAAAGAGAGAGTGTTTGAGAGAATTTCTTGCAAGTGGAGTGTGAATGATTCACAAAGTTACATAAAGGCAACGATGTTTGTGTGATTTTTGTTTTCGCTCTTCCTCTTATCTTTCTAGATTGCTCGTGAGAAGATCTTTGAAGAAGATCCGGTTATCTGCTGACACTTGGAGAGTGTGAATAGACGAAGATTCTCTGCTGACACTTGGAGGGTGTGAACAGACGACGGTTCTCTGTCGACACTTAAAAAGTGTGAAAGGACGACGGTTATCTGCCGACACTTGGAAAGTGTGAAAGAACATCGGTTCTCTGCCAACACTTGGAGAGTGTGAAAGGACGACGGTTCTCTGCCGCACCAAGGATTGGTGGAAGAGATGTTTTATAAAAGCTTCTCCTCCTTGCTGTGGGGGCAAAATGAGAGACACTTTTGGTAATAGTGCAATACCTGAATAGGGAGTATTTAGGGAGTAGATGTAGGTCGTGTGTGACCAAACCGCTATAAATCTTTGTGTTGTTTAAATTTTCGTATTTTATTTCCTGCAAGTTATATTCTGTGGTTGAAAATTTTGCTTTTAAAAATTCTCAATTAACTTGATAACTGAATTAAAGGTTTCCAAATTTTTTAAATCCAAGAATAATTTGTTAAATTATAAATTTAGATAAATAAAATTTTAAGGAAATTATTTGAGGGGTCAAATAACTTCAAAATTTCACGATCTTATAGTAGAATTGAGCATCTCATCGATAAGAATTCATAACACCGATTTGCTGGCGAAAACAAGAATCCTTTCAACTAGATCAAATCCCATGATTTTTTTCTTCCTAAATTTTCAGCATAAAAAATGTTATGCTCCTATGATTGGTTATCTTATTTGTGCAAGGGAATTTCATTCAATGTTGTAAAACTTCATCACCATGATTGACCTAGCACACAACTCTAAAGTAAATTTGAAAACATTTTGATTCTTCTAACCACTCTTTAGCAGGCTCTTTTATTCAAGTGAAATATATCTATAACAATAACAATATAGAATTCTAACTTTCTTATACTTTAGCTCCGTTATAGTCAAAAATAACATAAAAACAGCAAACTTCTCCTGAATAGAATCCTAATTGATACAATAGTGGTAGCTCTCTAAAATCTAGCAAACTCATTGGATATTAAGGTTTCGTTTGAGATAACTTTCTTACTTATTTTTAAAGCAGTTTTTTAGTACAAAATTTTTATTTTTATATTAAAAAGTTGTTTTAAAAAATATTAAAAAAACTACCCCAAACAAAACCTAACTTTCATCTCGATTTACCTCTTATGTAGACCAAGCTAGGAAAAATGCTTGTACTATAGATTCTGAAAAACACAACTCTCCTTGGCCTATTGGTTGTGAGCTTAGGCTTCCAACTAAGAGGTACAAGGTTCGAGTCTATGTGTATGCGTTGTGTGTGTGAGTTTGCCTTAATTGGCCTAAATGTCCCAAAAAAAAAAAAAAAATTCTGAAAACGAGTTCTCTGACAATTGGGTCATTCAATGGAAAAGGGTCACCCAACTTCTAAATCTAAGTGATGGTGGTATAAGATCTATCGTTCACAAATTCTCATGCAATCCTAAAAAACAAATCAAACCACAATAATTGTATAGCTAAGATTATAGAACTTTATCCTCTAATTAGTAATTACCCTGATAATTGGTGAGGATCTAAATCCCAATATTTAGCACCAAATTTTCGATTAAAAAAACCATCTCTGCTAGTTCTCAAGTTATTTTAACAACTAAGATTGATATGCAAGCAAAAAACTTACCAGTTCAAAGATGCCTTGACCAAGATTACAAAGGGAACAGAAACAAGCATAACAAGCAAATTGCGGCAGCGTTTATACATGCAAAACTCAGAAAACATGGAAACTCACTAATTTGATTATCTACCAACTCATAGAAGCTAGGCAAGTAAATACTATTTACTGAGGATTTGGTGGCCTGCTGTTGGCTGCAGAGACTCTGGAACCCCATTCAAGAAGCTCTTTGCTCGTATCATCCTTGTGCACTATCACCTCTATGAAGCACAAGCAATCCTTCTTAGCTCCAGTCGCGGTCTCAATCGCCGCCTTGAGATCTTCCTCATACAGCACCTTCGTGGTCCAGCATTTCCCCTCCCCGTTGTGTATGGCATCCACTAATGCAGTATAGTTCCAGTTCTTTATCACATTGTAAGGTCCATCATGGATCTCGACCTCAATGGTGTAACCTCCATTGTTGATGAGGAATATGATGGTGTTCTGCCCACACCTTATCATTGTTGACACATCCTGAGCTGTGACCTGAATCAAGGACAACAAGCTGCCATGGCATCAGAAACCCTAGGGAAAACAGATTTTGTTACCAAATGTTACCTGAAAGCTTCCATCACCAATGAAGGCGAGGACACGTTTATCCTTGGCAGCTTGGGCGTAGCCAAGGGTGGCGCCAACAGACCAGCCAATGGAGCCATACTGCATCTGGAACTCGTACCCGCAACCCTCCGGTAACTTGAGCTTCTGGCAGTTGAACCACGAGTCTCCAGTCTCAGCAATCACGGCATTGGTACCAGAGAGCATGCTTTGAATGTGCTTGAAGAGAACATTCACACGCAGAGGCTCCTTGGGCTTGGACTCAAGGGGATGACCCTCAGGCACAAAGATCCTGCAGTAGTTCTCATGGGCTGTTGTGTTCTTCTTGAGCCTCTTGGCCAAAGCATGGAAGAAATCCTTCATAAGAATGCAGCCAAAAGCCGGGCCATTGGCCACGATAACTCGGTCAGGTTGAACAATGATGGATTTCTCCTTCTTGAGGAGAAGGGAGTAACCGACGGAGCTGTAGTCGTTAAAGATTGGACCTGCAAAGAGATAGGCATCTGCAGATTCCACAATTTCTGAGCAGAACGCTGTGCTGACCGCGCCCCAATAGGTGCCAATGAACCTGGGGAGGTTTTCTGGTACTAAACCCTTTGCGGACGGCATCACAGCTACAGGATAGCCACATGCATCAGCAAGCTCGACGAAAGCTTCTCCGGCCTTAGCCACCCTCAGTTTTGGCCCGCCGACTAGCACCGGTTTCACCGCCTTGTTCAAGAACTCAGCAGTTGCAGCCACCGCGCACTCTAGACCCATCTGATTGCTCAATCTAGCAAGAGTGTTGGAGTAATCAAATATATAATCAATAGTTTGAGGAAACCAACTTTAGTATTCCAAATCAGAAAAACAGGGAAAATCTTGCAGTATAGGTGTTGTTTTAATTCAACCATGGAAAATACTAGAAGGGTATTTCCATTTTTCAGATCATTCTAACGCATTTATGATCCCTAATAAATATGTTGGAAATAAAAATGCGCAATCCATAGAAATGATACTTGCTGGGGAAGAGAGCGGAACCGAAATCTAACCTGGGACTAAGGTAGAAGGGGACCGGCTCGTGGCTAAAGGTTGGATGGGGGATAGCGGGAAGATTACAGCTGATGCTGATGTAAACCGGCTTGCTCTCCTTGAGAGCAGTGGAGATCGCTGTGTCGAGGAGCTCGTGAGCATCATCCAAATTATTCACCGCCGCCTGCGAAATCCACACCAGGGACAGGATTAAGTAAAAGGAAAATAGATGCTAATCATAGAAACAGAAAAGTGATCGATCCTATTAAAAAAAAAAACCTGATAGCAGGTGACGGTCTGAAAGCATCGAAGCTCCTGAGAGAAATCTGGGAGACCGATGGTGTGATGCAGGATCCGATTAGTCCCGTAATCATTCGTATTAGGGCCGCCGACGATGCAGATAACAGGGAGATTCTCGCTGTATGCGCCAGCGATAGCATTAAGGACGCTGAGGCCGCCGACGGTGAACGTGACGACGCAGGCACCGACACCGTTCGCGCGAGCGTAGCCATCGGCGGCGTACCCAGCGTTTAGCTCGTTGCAACATCCGATGTTATTGAGCCCCGGCTCAGCGATAAGGTGGTCGAGGAGGGTAAGGTTGAAGTCGCCGGGAACCGTAAATATGTCACGGATGCCAATCTGGACCAGGCGACGCGCCAGGTGGCGGCCAAGCGTCGCCTCCCCGGCGGGAGCCGCCGGCTCCACCGGATGGCAGTGCGTGGCTGGAGCGCCCCCCAGCCCGACGTTCCCGGCCGCCTTCGCCAGGGCGTCCACCGATCCGACGGTGTTCTCCATCGATTTCAAAACCAGGAAAGAAAAGAACAGAAAAAGGTTTTGAGCTGAATGTGACGAAATAGGGAAGGAGAAAATGGGTTTAAATACGCGCGAGGGGAAGAAACCAGGGGCAGGCTTAGACTTGGGGAGGAAGCCGCTCAAACCAGGGAGCGGTTCAGGCGCATTCCACGGGACACCTATTGACTCGTGACTCGTGAGCTTTATGAGCTGGCGGTTTGTTGTTTGAAATCCGGTGTGCGAGTGGGTTCTACGCGGTCCAGAGAACATGTGGTCGTTAATGCAGCATCATTCAGAGCTCCGGCCCTTCTAGTAATGAAATTATTGTCGGAATATCATGTGTTTTGTTTAAATGAATATGCTAATCTTAATTTTGATGTATATTGTATGCACTAAAATTAATTATTACTGATTTAATAATAAAAATTTAATGACATCTGCTATTTTATTAAATATTTTGTGTATCATTTATTTATTAGTTACGGTGATGATGGCTAATTTCACTGAACTTAGTTTGAAGATTTTCTATATCGAGATTAAATGAAGAGTGTATAAAGTTTGGTTGTATTTATGTTTGATATGTTTTATTTAGAGGGTGATATATCACGAGTGGCTTTAATATATTTCAAAAAAAGTCATATGACGAGCACAAATATTAAGGTAAATAAATTTTTGAACACATATTTAAATTCAAGGTCAATTGAACACATATTTAAATTTTTTAGATTTAAATTAATTTATAGTCAAAGTGGGTATTAATAAGGTAAATCCGCTAACAGCACAAATGATTCGATCTATTCCAAATAAGCTCAAAGCCAAGTAGTTAAAATATACATGAAAGCTTCAAGTCATTAATTGAATGACTAAATAGTATCCAAATCTTGATTGCTTATAATTAAATCGAGTGGCTAGATGAGACAAATCCAATAAGTCAAAAATCATTTGATTCTAACATAAGTAATAATGTTGAATCTTGATTTTGTTCGGTGGATGATGCCCGACCATATTTTATGAACCTATTTGTGGGCTAAAACTATGTATGTGAGGATGTTGAAGACTGAGAAAATAGAGAGAGAGAGAGAGAGAGAGAGAGAGAGAGAGAGGGTGAGAGAATAGATTTAGATAGAATCGTTATTATCACAGTAAAAAATACAAGAATGAAAAGGGCGGGAGCCATATCCCACAAAGCTCAAGTTAAATAAAGGAAAACAAAGTTTTTTCTATGCTACAACCTACTTCCTCCTTTTTTTGGTTTCCCTTCTACCTCTATTTATAGGGCTTGATAAGTTATAGTAAAATATGTATGAAGTACAAAAATGGTACTATCAATTCTTGATATAGCTCGACCAAGTGTGATGAGTGATGCGACGATCTTGTGAGAGAGGATGCATGTGAGGTGAACCCATGGGAATCTTGAGATCGAGTTGACATTGGGTAGGAAGCCAATCTGATATCACCCCGATGGAGTGAGATGGGGCAAATAAGAGCTTGATGTAGATCTCTGAGCTTAATGATGATCCAATTATGGAGGATATCTCGACAAGGCTTCTGTCTTTAGCTTGGTTTTTTATAGGTCTCACATAGAATACTTGACTTTAGCCGAGATGAATAAAGATTTATTTTACTAATAAAGGAACTTCTATAGTCGCCCCTGCTAGCGTGGGTGGTTGCTCAGAGGATGTGGTTGAAGATGGTTTGTTGTGCTCAGTGACAAGCTCCTTCCTAGCTCCTAAGTGAGTCCTTTGAATGGATTATGGCGAAAGAGGAAGGAATTCTGTTTCGTAGTGACTCAAGCATTACAATCAAGATAAATGCTATGATTTAAGTACATAAGTAGTTATTGTTGTGAATCAATGGTTTATGATTTTGATGATAGCAAACATTCTTATTTCTCTACGATTGCCTTATGTACTGACATTTCAGGTTCACACGATCGGACTGCAATTTGGAATCAGCTCAAGATTGGGTATACTAGGTCTGAGTCAGTTTGTACTCTTTTTCCTTTCTTGAGTCTGTTGTATTTGGTGTGGCACCGGATGATTTGTAACTTGGAAGATTCTCTGTTGGATTTCTATTTTTTGTAACATCATCCGGGACGATATTTATATTGTCCTGGATGATCTGTCCAAAAATAGAAACCCTAATTAGGGCATCCTCATTAAGGCAGCCGTCATTAGCTGATCGGCCTGGACAATACCTGTATCGGCCAGGACGATAGTCTCAATTCAAAAAGAATCAGCAGCCATAATCAGTTTAGGAATTCTTTATTTTAGGAAATCGGCCAGGACGATATTCCTATCGTCCAGGACGATCTAACTCAATTATGCCTAAAATGATCTGGTATCTTTGGAAAGCATTAATGGTTGATTGATACGATCACATCATCCGGGACAATCGTAGGATCGGTTGGGACAATGTCCTGGACGATTTACGTCGAACAGCTCGAATTCAGGGCGATGCTCTGGACGATTGAAATCGGTTTTAAACTAATCAGCCTGGACGATCATGAGATCGGCCAGGACGATGTAACCAATTTTCTTCTGATCGTCCCAAATCATCCCGGGCTGATGAGCCGAATTTGTACTGATCGGCCAGAACAATATAACTATCATCCTGGACGATAATGTCGGCAACTTGTATTAATGAGATCATTTTGAGCTTTTCTATTTAAGCTTGGCATGATACTTTGTAAAGTGTCTTTGGCAGCCATTGTAGCTTCGTTCTTGTGTGGGAGACTTGAAGAGAGAGCTTGAAAGGGAGTGAGGAACGGGTGAAGTCTGAGAGGGAGAAGATCCTGTGAGGGGGGGCTCAAGGGAGTGTGGAGGGGATTCCACACGGTTGTTCCGGCATGCTTGCATCTTAATACCGTCGGATTCAAGGCTTGTCTCTAGGGAAGTTCACCAAAGAAGAAGTTCACTTTGGTGTCAAGGACCCGGCAACTCCGCCGCACCGAGGAAGGTGGAAGTGGTTTTGTAAGGGCTTCTCCGCCTAACTGTGGGGGCTAAAGGAGAGACACTTATTATAGTGTAATACTTGGAGGGTTCCTCCAAGGAGTGGACGTAGGTCAAGGTTTGACCGAACCACTATAAATCTGGTGTGTTCTTTTTTTATTACTTCCGCATTTAATTTCCGCATCGTTGGTTTTGATTCTGGTGAATCTTATTTTTGGATTTAAGATTGTGTTTGTTTTAAATACTGATTCACCTCTCTATCTTTTCTTAATTAGCTTTGGGACTAGTTTATAGGGCCTAACATCCCTAACGAACTTTCAAGTGGTATTAGAGCACTTTCTAGTGTCATCTGAGCACTTTTAGCTATTGGTGTGCATTTAGTTCCCCATTTTTTAACCCTTTAATCATTAGATATCAAAAAGGTCAAATAAATGAACCGTAAACCCAGAAAGAGCATGAGTAAATGTAAATTTACTATCATGAATCTTCCAGTAAATTTAAATTTACTATCATGAATCTTCCTTAACGTGTATATATCACTTGAGAATAAACGATCACATCATTAGGTTTCTCTATAAATATTAGCTTCGAGCCCAACAAATACATACCTTTGCTTCTAACTCGTGAGCCTTGTGTAATTTTGGTGAGATGGGTTTTTCCCTTCTTCTTAGCTTTCGTGCTTTTAGGAAAGATGTCTTCAGGAGAGTACTAGCTACTTTTAGTATGGAGGCCTTGAATGTGGAAGACGCCATGTCGAGAAAGGTCATTATTAGAGAGTCGGTATGAGTATTCATGGACTCGACAGACCTTAATGTTGCTCCTCTATTGAAGATGATGTGTGCTGATGTTAGGGATCTAGTTGTCATTGAGTGTATGATCTTGTTGTGGGGACAAAGGAGGCAATCGCTCCTATTGCTCTAGTTACGACTGGTGAACATGATAGCCTTTGGATGAAGGGAGGAATCATTTCTTTCCTCTCGAGAGTATGCAAAAATATGTGGGTGTGGCTACTTTGAAGGAGGTGAGTGCCCATAGTGGAATACAATTATTGGCGATATTGTTGCTGCTACAAAAAAGGTTATCTGAGTGGTTATTTTGGATCATACATAGGGCTAGAACCTTGAGCAATCAGTGGCTACTTTCTTGTATACCTTGTATATTGGCCTCACCCTTCCCTCAAAGTGAATTTTGTTAAAAGAATTTATTGGGCCATTAGTAGTCATGGAATTAGTAGTTAAGGCAAAAGATGTAGGTGATGTGAAACCCATTAGGTAAAAGAAAGCTAACTCTTAAATATCGAGGCGACTTTTGGTGTAATAGCTTAAATTTTTATGAGAAACTCTGCAGTTAAACATGCTCACCCCATAGCTATTCTGGGATGGGTGACCTACTGAGAAGTTACACCAATAGGATAAAACTATGAGGATCTTAGGTCAATCAGACAATATCTTGACAATTAAGAGTTTGGTGGGCTATTACAAATGGTAGCAGATCAAGACACCAGCTGAAAGATGGGAGCTAAGTGTCATACAAGTCAAAGTGTTATGCCATGTGAGCCACCTCTTGAACCCTATATCAGAAAAATTTCTACATGACAAGAGCCACCACTTGAACTTATAAGAGCCACCTCTAAAGTCCTATCTGCCTGGTGTATGATTCTGGGATACATATGCTAATGAGAATGTTAGTTACTTAAGTGGAGGAGATTATGAAACCCCTTAAATAAAAGAAAGCTAACTCTTAAACATCGAGGCGCCTTTTGGTGTAATAGTTCGAATTTCTATGAGAAACTCTGTAGTTAAGCATGCTCATCCTAAAATAATTTTGGCATGGGTGACCTACTGAAAAGTTATACCAACAGGATAAAATCGTAAGGCTCTTAGTCCAAAGTGGATAATATCTAGATAGTTAAGAGTTTGGCCTATTACAGGTGAGCCTAGTGTTAGTGGAGAGGGAGATACTGCCATAGGAAATAGTAATTTGAGAGGAGCTATGGCTTTTACTATATGATTAGATGGTGGCTATATGAAGCCTCATAAATGTGATGGAAGCCGAGTGGTGTACGATGCTTAGTCATACTAAGCAAAAGGGGTTCCTCCTTGGTGCTCAATATATTGTAGAGTATCTTGGAAAGATAAGAGAATTAGTGCTAAACATAGCAAAAGATCTTATATTGGGTCATATCTGATATTGTCATTAAATGGATTGATTCTATTTTTCTT